AAACTATCCTAGACCATAAGGAAATATTCGATTCAGTAACAGTCCTCTATACCTCTATTGTGTTCAAGTTTTGCTAATTTCCAATGCATTTTGATCTGTCGAACGTGGCATCTATATCTGCTGATGTCCCCAAATGGCCTATATTCGGATGCAAATCTATCTCACCTATTTAAATGTCAAAGGAAAGTTTTAGGTAACGCTTGCCAAGTAATGAGAAAATGTGCTAGGCTTAACACTTTAATAAGGCTTCTCGTGGAAAATTGTGCCAGGCTAATCCAGAGTTAATTTTTCTGGGGAAAATTAATGGATAATAAATTTTCACGTTACTGCTGAGTCTGGACGCGGAAAATAAATTAGCATTAAATCTGAAATTTAGTGGGTATGTACCTACTAAGTAATTCTAAACAGATGTTCAACTTTTCAAAAATGTTGACCTTAATTCTATTTTGATCTAAGGTGCGAGCAATTTGGCTGTTTATTGGATAAGGAAATAAATATCTGCAGACTACTACCTATACTTAATAAATATAAGTAGTTTAGCATGTCAGGCAGTAGGTATCTAATCACCAAATTCAATTACCAATGCGTAACTGACCCAGCATTTGAAATAAGGAAATTCGCATTAGTAGTCAGCTGTTCAAGGATTAGTGAGCTATCTAGGTGGAGCCAGTTTAGTTTCCGAACGGATGGGTCCGCGATGAATCTTGTCAAATGACACCTCCCAAACCTCAACAAACATTATTTTGATTTTCCGATTTTAACCCCTCGTTTTTATTCTAATCGGTGACTTCACCGATGAGTTAGCTATCTTTGTTTAGTCAATGGCAAATGACAATGACCGACATAGAATGGCGGATCCATTGGTAAAATTTGATGAGAATAAAAACGCAGGGTAATTTCAATCTCAAGTTCTCAAATTTCCATTTTTTTGGCTTCTTGCCGTTGAAGATGTCTGCCACATTTATTTTAAAGGTAAAACAATCAACAAACAACTAAAAAGTTGGGTTAAGAAAAACAGCTGACGGCTGCCAATCCTTTTCACCCCGCATTTTATGAGGGTCGATGAGATCCAAACATATGATACTGAACCTAACAACCCGATCACTTTCCGTATAAGAGTGAACTGATCCTAGATTCCTTTCCATAAGCAGCTTAGGTCATACCTCACTGGTCGAAACCATGGGGTCGAGCTTAGTAGCAGGCTTTCGAGGCCTGTGGAAATAGAGGTAGGTACCTACTCAATGTAAAAGAAGATAAAGTGAAAGTAACTGATGTGGCATTCGCTATATGAGAAAATTCAGAAATGATTCTAGAAAACTTCCTGCATAAAACGGAATTTATAAATACTGAAACAAATTAGGTCCTTCGTAGAAAACATGTCATTTGAAGAAAAAGAATCAAGGATTAATAAGAAAAACACATCAAGTGTTGGAGAAGGCTGACATTAATATAAAAAAATATTTAAACTTTCAAACAAACAATACAATACAATGCTAAAAATATATCTATAGAGCTTCAAGAGTACGTAACAAGAAGTTTTTTTTCTTTATTTCAAGAATCCATAAAATTTCTCATCAACCCTACTTAACCCGGTCTGAACTGTAAAATTGCCCGTAAACACCCCTATAAAAATATGACACAATATGTTACGTTGGCGTGCCAACAGAGGAATAAAGGGAAAAATCGTCTATTGAGACGAACTATCCAGGAAGTGAAACGGAAATTGGATGGAAACCATTCCCCCGACATATTTTCTGAACGAGTATCGAGAATTTGATCTCGAATTTCTAGGTCGAATGGTTTTGTTTCGTTTTGCATTCTGATGCATTCTGCATTTTGCGTCCTCTCTATAGTTTCAACGTATGTGCAACAGCGTAATCAAAAACCAATTGCAATTCGACCTTGCAACTTCACAAGGCTTCATTGAAAAACTTTCTATTGTTCACTTTCGTTGCACCAGCAAGCAATAATTAAAAATATTTCATGCAACCACTAGGCTGATTCCAAATTGCAATTTTTAAAATTTCTCTCTGCAAGTATTTATTAATAGAAATAGTTCTTTAACCTGAGAGCCCCTTGCGACGTAATACGTCAGTCTTTCAAACGTCAAATTGATATAAATTGATACGATCGTAATACAAACGTTATTTATAGTGTATTTGAAAGCAACACACTTTAATGTGTGCCGACATTTTCGAGATGCACCTAGGAAACGTGGCCTGGCATATCGGATGCTGTGCAGGAGTAATAAAATGTTGATGTTTGGTGCTTGTGTATACCTATTGATAATGTATAAGGAGTCAATTTTACGTTTTATTATACTTCTTAGCTTCATTCGGTTTAATGGGAGCTATGAAAATAAGGTAGGTGCTTGAAGAATCTTGGCAACTGCCAGAGATGATATACTATTAACTCAATATATATATATATATATATATATATGGCTTATTTCCCATTTGTAACAAGCTATATAAACAAATAAATCTTTATAATGCATCAACAACTCGATAACATCTCCGAGACATCCCAACAACAATGGATTTATTAGGGTTAGTGAGTAAATTATTGCTGTTTGACCGCGGGTTGAAATAGTTGCCCTAGCAAGAACAGCGGTTCTTCCATGTTGAGAGTTTACACGACAAAATTTTGAAGTTATGGTATATCCTGGGATGTGCAGAGGCTTCTCCGGTCTTAACCAGTTGTCTGTGATTAGAGTTACGTTTTTATCTGGACTTTACGAATTAAAATTTACTAACTCTGTGTTGTCATTGCATCCTTGTTCAAAAAAAAAATATTACAAAGACAGCTTTGACAAAACGGGAAGCAATTTCATAAACTTGAACTTATTTTCAAGGTTTGGAATTACTTTGGAATTTTATCCCTTGATCAACATCAACGTCACTAGCAGATTGCCTTATCCCCATTAGCTGCCGAATTTTCTCTTCAAGCTTTAAAAGGACCCCGCACACTTCTTATGGGATTTTGGTTGAACGCGGAATTTAACCAAATTTTGGTATGTTGTATATTTCGACCTCCTGAGTAAAAGTTCTCATGGGTACAAGCCGATCCTATGACTAGTTCCGGATATACGGGGGTTTTTCTAATACTACCTCAGGCAACCTGAAAATACTGAATTTTCATGTTTTTTGCGTTTATTTGTGGTAGGTAGCTTTAAAAAATGTTGAATAAGCTTAGACCATTTACAGAAAGGTGCATGTTTTTAGTTAGGTGCCTATATGTATATGTGAATGTACGAGGGTATTTTGAAAAGTACTTGTTTGGTGGGCCTTTGTGTGTTTTTAAAACAAACACAAATAGAAGTATGACAAACTATATACTGTATTTTTTCCCAAGATAGATTTTGACTTGACACTGTTAACTTTGAAAAATAAACAATGCCGCTTATTGGTCGCAAGATGCCATGTGCACCTCATGCAATGTAAAGCTGATTACAACCTGCAAGGACACCTCATTTTCCGACCAATCGGGGCCAAGCGTTATTGTTTATGTTCCAAAGTTTTCAATGTCAAAATCCACCTTGAGTTCTCAACAATAAGATTTTCATCCTCAAATCCTAACTCGTTTCGACACTTTACAGCCAATCTACGGACTTATGCAGTGCGATTTACTATTACTCTAATCCTTCATTGCACACGTAGCACATTACCTTTCCCGAATTGCCATTTTCACAAGAAAGGTGTCAAAAAAGAAAATTCGCTTTATTGACAGGGTCACTGTTTTGGTTTCCATGGTTAACAAGTGAAATATGACATGAAAAAACAATTTTCATTGCTTTTCTTTCCATGGCTGTTTAGATTTTTCAAACAAATCACCAAGTGTATGTATACCTAATAACTAAACACTTAAACCCTAGGCCAAGGGATCATGAGGCAAAAAGTTTTTAGCACAAGCGTAGCAAGAACTGGAATTCATTGAGATAGAAAGTCACTTTTATCACAAAACGTAGGTACCTGAGTACCTACAAGATTACAATTTTTCACACTTTTGAACATTTTCGGTCATTAACTCATTTAGCTTAGTAATAGCCATAGTTTTTGAGCGCCCCTGGTATATAAAGGAAGAGTTACGAACACCTACTAAACATTTTTAGTTAAGGAAAGATGAAATAATCAAATTTTAAAGCAATACATGCAAGTTTTTTTGCTTTATGTACACTTTATATAGGTACTTAGGTTGCCTAAGGTAGTATTAGAAAACCCCCTGTATATCTGAAACTAGTCATAGGATCGGTTTGTACCCATGAGAACTTTTACTCAGCAGGTCGAAATATACAACATACCAAAATTTGGTTAAATTCCGCGTTCAACCAAAATCCCATAAGAAGTGTGCGGGGTCCTTTAAAAAAAAAATCTTTATAGTTATCCTTGTAGATAGATTTTTCCAGATCCATGTCGATAAACGCTTTTTGAAGGTAAATGTGGTCCAGATTACTGCAATGGCTTAATTTCAGTTGACAATAAAAGTGAGACCTACCATTTCTTAGGTCATTGGCATCAAAATCAATTTGACAAAAAATAAATACAAGTTTAATATCAGTGGATAGGTCGCAATAAAACTTGAACAATACGTAAAACGTTGGGGAACGTTTGAAATACAGTCGACGAGTTCGACGGCCCTACATTTCATTTTAAAAAAGTCCGTTCGAATCACTTCGAGTGTAAGTCTCGATTTACATTTGAAATAAAATGCTTATTCGGTTCAAATTTCATTCTTTCATTAAACGAAGTTCCAATGCCAATAATGCCCTATCACAATTGAACTACAACTAATGCTCTTGGGAAATCCTAATGGAAACTTCTAGACAGTTAAAGAAGAAAAATCATCTTTGTCGGACATGCGGGATATTAAGGTAGCATTGCAAAGTTTATGCTTCCTTAACTTTTCACAATGAAAAGTTCGAAAAATATTTTTGCGAAAGCTTTTATCCAAGGTAAAATATTTTATATAATGCATTATCATAGGTAAAGTAAACGACTCACGTGTTCCATCGAATCGTGTCGCTATGGTGTCCAGAAAGGTGTTTTGGGGCGCTAAAAGCCCCCTCCGTGCAGGCATTGGGCCCGGGAATTTCAGCAGGACCGACCTGAAAATAACAATACAAATACAATATTCTATGAATGTTAGATACAAATACAATAATGTTTCAAAAGACTTATATTCATTTTTGAAATGTGGAATTTAGGAATTCTCAAAGAAAGTAAAACGCTTTTTCAATTCAATTTTTCTTCGGGAACTTTTCAGTTCACAGGCAGTTTCCTTGATAGCAAAAATATCGCCCAATTTCCTGGAACTTTGTAAATCGCCATTAGACTTACGCTACGTTTCGAATTGATTTAGTATCATAATCAAACATCTTCCCACTCATTGTTTCACACTTTGGTTGTTGATAAGTGACTTCCTAAAGCAAAAATCTGTTTACCTAATAAAAAGTGTTACATTCTATAATGTCAAAATGCCAATCTAAGTCTAAGATGGGTTCGAAGGTCTCTTCTCAATTGTCTGGCCTTACCAGAGAAAAAATTACTAGAGCGCCACTAAATTTAATTACAGTACCGACATAATTGATTTCACCTGAATATTCTTCCAAAACACGAGGGGAAAAGATAATATACAATATGCCAATTGAGGCCAATACTCATATACATACATAAATACAAAGTTTTTGATTGCTATCTAATTTTAATACAGGATGTTTTCTAATTAATGAATATCAATTTTAAGGGGGCGATTTTTAGCTCCATTTTAGGAAGAACACTTCATATGAAAGTATGTCCTAAATGTCTTAGCTTTTGAGATACAGGGTGATACAAATTTCAATAATAAATAATTTATTAATAATATCTGTAACACCACTTTGGATAGTTTTAATGGAATCAAATTTGGCATACATGTATATCAAGAGGCATTTTTCAATGTGCCACATTTTTTCAAATTTCCACCAGTGGCGTTCCTACGGAATTTGGCCTGCCGTTCGTACCTAATTTGACCTACCTATTTTGTCAGAAATTCATGGTACGCCACTGATTTCTCTCAAAATAAAAATTATTTTTGAAATCCCCCATCATTTCTGAACAAAGTTGATCACTTGATTTTTCACAATCCGACGCACGGTTTTCACCTAAAAAAACAAAATCTATTTCTCTGCATGGTAAGTCATATGCTTGGAATTTGGAAATGATGGGGGATTTCAAGAATAATTTCAATTTTAAGAGAAATCAGTGGCGTACCATCAATGTTTGCCAAAATAGGCAGATCAACTTCAGTATGAACGCCACTGGTGGGAATTTAAAAAAAATGTGGTACAATACAAAATGCCTCCTAGTACATAGTACATGTATACCAAATTTAGTTGAAATATCTAGAGTGGTGTTACAGATATCGATAATAGATGATTTATTTTTGAAAACTTTATCACCCTGCGTATCTCAAAAGTTAGGACATTTAGGACATTCAATCATATGAAGTTTTCTTCTCAAAATGGACCCAAAAATCGCTTCCTTGAATAATAACATTCAATTAGAAAACACCCTGTATATAGGTTGACCTACACCAGAACAAAGCATTACGACAACTTCACGCTCCCCAGACCATTCCGAACCTGGGCAATTGTCGTTCCACAAACTCAAATGCGACTATATTTTCTTTCGTCAAAATTATTTTCCGGGTCCCTGGTGGATTATTGTAGCTTAGTGTAGTGTAGTGTAGGGTCATTTGCATCTTTTAAACGCCATTTTTTCTTTAATGACTCGTTCTACTTTTTTAAATAAATCGTAATTGAAAAGTGTGTTTTAAGAAAGTTTTACAACAAACTGCTTTGTTAAAGTAAAGTTATTACTCGCTCAGAACTCCCGACTTTAGTTTAGTTATCCGACTCTTCAAAAGTTCATTATTCCTTTTTAAAGTAGTGTTCTATAAAAATGCAAATTTTCTTTTAAATATTTGACTGAGTTTACAGCCCTCTCAAATTTGAATTTGAATCAATTGCACGCTGGCATTTCAGCTGCGAAGATTTCGATTTATATTGGGTCACTTCTCATTTGCATTTATTTTCAATGTTTGTATTATCTTAGTATAACACGTTTAGGTCAACGAATCTAGGTAATCCGAACATGGACAGGAACAAAATAAATTAAAAAATTGAATAAAATGGCTTGAGTTTTTGTTGATTGAGGATGTTTTCCCAAATGTGTGAAAATAATCCTAGATACAACTTGGAACTTGGGAAAATATATTTCAGAAAGGGTTAGGTAATCTTCAAATGTAGTTCATCAATCTAATTACATAGAAAGCATGTAAAGTTAGGGCTTTGCTCTCTGACCTGTGTACCTACAACAAACACAGGCACATTTAATTTCGGTCACAAGGCCTGTTATTCAATTGCGTTGAAGCGATATGCACACAGAAAATAAATAGAAATTCGCTGGTTTTAAAATTTACGGGAACATAAAACTCGATTTCCATAAAAGGAACGATAAGCTTTCCCGTAAATAAAATGTTGTCAAAAGTGCAACGAAACAAAAACGCCAGAGCTACAAAGTAATATTTCCAAATGTAATATCTAGCTACTACGCCATAATATATTTTCTTGATGGCAACAGGTATTTCCGTTGCTTGTAAAAAGGTTGCGGATTTACATGACTGAAATATTCGAGACCAAATTGAAATATGAGAAAATGGTAATTTGAAATATGAATTTCACTCGCTTATCTGAAATATTTTAATTTGTTAAAAGGAGATAAAAAAAAATTAAATGGTAAATCCCATTATTCGTAAGATTCCTCTTGAAATGGTTTTCTGGAAAATTAATAAGGGGAAATTTTTGAAATTATTAGGGTGAAAAAAGAAAAGTTATAGGAGCTTATCGTACTAAAAATTTCAAATTATTCCACTGAAAAACAGCAACAAAAGAAATTCATGAAAATCAGCTTCCAAAAACTGAAATGAAGAGAATAAATACACTTTCTGTTATTTTGATGGTTTTCTGGAAAAATAGTAAGGGGAAATTTTTGAAAATTTTGGAATGAAAAGAGAAAAGTCAGGAGCTCATCATACTAAAATTTAAAACTGATCCAGTAGAAAAAAAAAACAGCAATAAGACTAACAAGAGAAATTCATGAAAATCAGCTTCCAAAAACTGAAAATGTACCTCCTGTCATTTTGATGGTTTTCTGGAAAATACATGAAGGGAAATTTATGAAATTTTTAGGGTGAAAAGCGAAAAGTTTAGAACTAATTATATCAAAATTTTAAATTGATCCAGTGAAAAAGCACCAACCAGAGAAATTCATGAAAATCAGCTTGCAAAAACTGAAATTAAGAAAATTCACCTCTTGTCATTTTGGAGGTTTCCTGGAAAATTAATAGGGGAAAATTTTTGACATTTTTAGGGTGAAAAGAGAAAGGTTACTGAAATTTCGAATTGATCTAGTGAAAAAAAGCAACACAAGAAATTCATGAAAATCTTCGTCCAAAAACTAACATGAAGAAAATGCAACTCTTGTCATTTTTATGGTCTTCTGGAAAACTAGTAAGAGAACATTTTTGAAAGAAAGTTAGGAGCTTAAATAAAATAGATGCAAGTTTTAGGATCGCTCGGTCATAGGAATATGCTGCTGAAGGAATAGAAATAATTGACTTTTAATGAAAAACTTCCGAAGATTATTTAAAGGTGTCAGTTTTATACACTTTCCGCATAATAAAGCGAATGCATAATTTTAGAATTTACTAACTTGACGTTATTTTTACTCCCGGAGGACGCTTCTAAAACTTAATCCCTAAAGAAATCTACTATAGCATAACGCTATTTTTTGATTCCGAATTGTATATACTTTCATATACATTTGCAAGCTTTTTGGAATCACGGAAAATATGCAAATTTCAACTATTAAATTTGCATTCAGAATTATGAAAAGTTTCTTAAAAACAAAAATTAAAACAGGGAAAAATATGTAAGGAGCTTGTGTAAGAAGTTATCAAAGGACAGGCCTTTGAGAATTTTTGTTTGATACGAAACACAAAAATACAGTAAATTATTTATTACAAATTTTTCAAAATTAAATTATTCATAAACTTCTTTACGCCTAATTTAATTTGTTTGTCACAAACTATTTTATATTCTATTCATGATGAGTTGCCGATATCAGATTCTAGCAAATTGGAAACGACAGTATGTTCTCACATAGTATCGCTGTCTCGCGTATACAAAGTTTATGGAATAGGTGATCCCTGTCAATAAATTTCCAGCGATCACAGTCTGTTCCAGAGCCAGGTCGATTGGCGCTCGAGCCAAATTTCCCTTCATTCTCTTCTTAATGCCAAAAGCTCCTCTAGAAAATTGCTCTATCAGCCGTAATTGGGCTCGTTGAAAATGAAAAACAAGTTCACGATCTTGTAAATTGAATCCACAGATAGTTCAATATCCCTTGAATAAATACTTTTCGAAAAACGGAAATTTGATTCAATAATTTTCACTTACTGCACGTTTTTCTTACTTGGCGCTCCATAGACACTATAATCATTAAGAAAATGTTTATAAATATTATTTATAAATGTTAAAAAAAAAAAACGAGTTGTATAACAATTCGATTTCTGTGAAGAAATATCAGTTTACAAAACTATATACTTAAACAAGCATTTCAGGAATATGTTTTCATCATGGCGGATTGTCTATAAAACCGTAGACGTTTGAGTAATAAAAATATACAGGTTTTGGGACCATTACAGAATATCTCATTTCTTCAATATTATGGAGTGCTTTGCCAAGAGTGAGTTCGAATTGTGCAAATAGAACATTTTCCATTTGTAAATATTCCTCCGAATATTTAAGTGAACAAACAAAAATCTGCAAGGTCAACAAAATAAAATAAACTTTTTGGCTTTCACAATTTACAAATTTTTTTAAGGATATTATATATGTTCACCCCAATATTATTGGGGGCGTTCTGTACTTGGAACAAAATCTAATAACGCAGAGTAAACACCCCACGTGAATATATTTCTCTCTGTTGATGGTGGAAATAATATCAAGTTACGCCTTTTTTTGTAATGCGAAATGCAAATAAACGGTAGGGATTTTAAAGTAATT